AAAAATAACTTACCATCTATTATATTATTAATTATTAATTATTTTTTTAAATAAAAAATTTAGTTGAGTTTAAATTATAGCAAAAAGTAAAATTATATACTGATAAATAATAAAAGTAACTTACTATCTATTATATTATTAATTATTAATTATTTGTTAAATAATAAATTTAGAAAGTTAAATTACAGTGAAAAGTATATTTAAATACTAATAATCAATAAAAATTACTTACCATCTATTGTTTAAATAAAATTTAAGTTTAAATTAATTAATTTTTAGGTGAAGAAATTATAAATAACAAATTATTATAATATTTAAAAAATTGTTTAATAAAATATAGTATTACTGTTATGTTCTTCGTTCTTTGCGTTGGGTAATGTTTGATACTGATTGAATAGATCAACTGCCGCCTTCGAAGGTTTAGAGCCTGAGCTTTCGCTAATTTGACCAGCGTTTGATAATTGTGTTTTTAGATGGTATTCTCTTCTTAAATAATCTTTTTCGCTTTCTGGCATACTTTTCAAATCGTTTGCAAATATTTTGTTAAATTCCAAATGATTCACAGTAGTTAATTTATTTTTCATCATTTCTTTACGGTAACGAATGAATAAATTTGAATTTCTCTTATTTCTCTTCTTTAGGTTATCGGGTGTTACTGGATCAAGGAAAACATATCTGCTTGAGACACTTTCCGAATCTCTTCCGTTAGCGGGTATTTCTGGGTCAAGGAAATAGATATTCATAATTACATATTGTATATAGGATGAGAGGTGGTCAATAAAATTTTAAGGTCTAAATTTTTGTAATAAAAGTGTGATTTCCAAAAATATTGTTTTTTATTTAAAGAAATAATTTGATTATATTATATATATTAAAATTTATAATTTAATTAATTAATAAAAGTAAAGTAACTTACTAATGTAAAGATGATATTTTGATCAAATAACTTAATAATAGTTTCTAAACAAATGTATAAATTATTTTACCATCTAATTCATCGAAAAGCGTAGAAGCATCCCTGGAATCCAAATCTAGCTCTTATAATTTTGTAAATTAACCTTTAAAAATTCTCGTTCTTATTTCAAATAAAGATATAAACTCATTTTAAATACGCTAAAGGTCAATACATACCAATTTCTTCTACATCAACTTCTCTTTTATTTTTCTTCTGGGGAAGTATATTTTTTTCAAGCGGCTTCTTTGTTCTTTTACCTTTACTTCCGGACATTGCAAGTTTAAAAGAAAAAAATTAGAATGAGTATAATTATATATAGGATCATTACAGGGTTGCACAACAGGTATTACGAAAATGGGTGGATAATGATTAGAGTATGTCATGTGAACAGGTATTGAGTGAATTTTTGTAGGTTAGGTCAGTTTAGTATAAAAAAATATACACAACATCATTTCATGTGACATACTCTAATCATTATCTCCACCCTATGTGATCCAAATTCGATGGTTAATCATATTGTACTCCTTTTATATATTTTAGTACACGCATAATTCCGGTCATCAGTTGAAAATTATCTATTAAACATAAAGATAAGCAATCGATAAAGAATTTTGATAACAATTATCAGAAACGTGATATCGAGGAGGATGATAGCAGTAAGTAATACGAGTGAGAAATTAACAAAAAAAATATTATTCTTATCAGTTATTGTAATTATCTTTGTTTCACTTATTTGGTTAAATTTTGTTTTTTTATAACCTAAACGTAATGTACCATAAAAGGAAGTTTGCCGTACATTAAATATGCAGCTCGATCTTTGATTGTGCCAAAATTGATCATCGCGGCACTCTGTCTTTTCTGGAGGATCTGTTGGGAAAAAACGCTTCGGACCTTTCTAATCATTCGAACCCAATGGACTGATGCAATATAAATGTCAAATTGGTCACTTTTGACACCGGGATCAATTAAACTATCTTCTTTCATTCATTCAATTACATTGATTGATATTTTTAAGAAATTCCGTAAAAAACCATGGAAAGGAAATTTTAGCTATAAAACTAGAAATTGCGAATCTTCTTTCCCACCAAACCGAACTTATAAATTACTCCATTAATTGTAACTAATTCTACTTATCAAAAATACAAAGCAAACAAGACGAAGTTTATTCATAAAAAAATCTTCTTTCTAATGGTTTAATCACGGAATTTCATTAAAAATATCCAAAAATTCCTAAACCGATGTCATTACTGGCTGAAATACAAATTTGCCAGTTGTCAGATAATTATTTAAAAGTTGCACATGCGATGTATTGTTCTATTTAATTAATAATCCCAGTTGTAGAAATGGTTAGTGTTCTTCTTAGATTTGGGTGGCCACTGGGCAAAATGACCTCAGTAAAGTATTTGAGACGAAATACTTCGCAGATAATACTCTTCCGTATATTCACAAAGTATTACTCTTAATATTTGCATCTTCATTGAAGTTCTCCGAAGGTTATAGCTCCGTTATAATTACGAAGTATTACGGTTGAAATTCTTCGTAGATATTACAACTTCGTAAATCTTCGGAGTACTTCAACCGGAGTACTTTGCATTAGAAGTACTTTCTTCGTATACTTACGGATTAATTTTTCTAAATATGGATAAATTAAATTAATTAAAAAATAAATAATAAAAAATTGAACTTCAAAACCTTTCATGGCATTCAAAGTAATCTTGGAGAGCATGCAAAATTACTATCAATGATGAAAATTTGAATTTTACAAAGTTTTTAATATTTTGTTTATGCTGACAAAATTTCAAATGAATTCCTTTCAAATAGATATAAAATTCCGAAGTATTACGACTCAATAATCTTCGCAATACTACGCCGCCTCACAATAAAACTCCGAAGAACTACCCCAAAATATCTTTGAAATACTTACGCCATAAAAAAACGTAGAACTGCGATGGGGTCGTAGACCCACGAAGTATTACGGGGACGTAGATATTCGCAACAAAGCATTCTGAATAATTTCATGATGTAATTGTAGCTGAGTTCAAAAGATTCCCTTAGATAGTTTTTAATAGCCGTAATAATCTATAACTATTGACATTTAATAAAATTGGCTCCGAAAAGTACAGAGCGCCGACGTTGAGTTATTACTTTTTATTAAATAAGAGAGCACGTGCATTCATTGTAAGATCTTTTTGAAATTTGTGTTTGAATCATCTGACTGTTCAAATCTCGCCAAATTGTATGTTACTAGAAACAGCATTTACTTCATAAATACTCTCTTCGATAGTTAGGAGAGAAACATCAAATGTATCAACGTCTAAATCAAAGGTTCATTCACACTTTCCTTATCAAAACCAAGTGAAAAAGCTGCTAAAGTTTGTGTTTTAACTATTCGTAGTACATTATACCGGCGAAAATAACGGCATCTTTTATAGTTTGACATTGATAATCATTATTGTAAGCTGATGTATTAACTTTGGTATCAAAATAAGCTTCTGCAATTTGCATCATCTTTACCAATATTATAGATAAATTTTTTTTTAATTAGCAATAGCTTTTAAGGTCGTCGATGAGGGTGGAAAACTTATCAGAGTAGAACTGACCAAAGCAAATAACCCGTTATATCTAAACGATATTAAATACAGTATTTTAAGGATTCTTTGTGAAAGCGATATGAAGGCGTTGTAAAATTACCCTGATCATTGGCAATAATTTCAACTCAGTTATTTTCTAAATACTGACACGTTCCCAAATCGATGCCAACTATCAAATTTGAAATTATTTTATTTATCGTTCATTAAAAAAAAATTTTTTTTTTATTCATGCATATCAACTTTACTCTGCGATATTTTAAGACTTTTATAATTTTTTATACAGAAATTCCCTAAAAAAAAATGAAACGTCGGCGCTCTATGCCAATAGGTGCGATTATTAATTATTCTTGGGGATATTACAATAAAATTTAAAGGGAAAATGGGATAACAATGTTTTTATTATTATTAGGATTATCGGATGCTTACAATTTTAGAAAAAAAAATCCCGCCATTATATATATGAAAAAAAATATAGGACATTATTGTCCAGAAGACTGAATTGGCCAGAGAAAAATATAGGCCAGGTGGCATTTTTGGCCACGAAACTATTATGGCCAGTGAATAAATTTGGCCGGTGGACAATATTGGCCCGGGGACAAATTCTGCAACGAACTAACTAACTTGTTTTCGTTAATCATTTTTCTAATACATGTAATACATGTAATAACTGTTTTATATCACGGTTCCGTCATATCGTCATAAACATACAACACAACTAACTTTTTTTATCTATGAATAAACTTTTTGATCATCTTTTTTTTAGCGCTATCCTTCCTTTTTTTTACAATTTTTTTTTTACAATAAACTTTTCAATCATCCATCTTTTTTAGCGTTATCCCACTTCACCTTTTTAATTTTTATTTCCCTTCTCTTTCATTTAACTATGGGTAAAAAAAATAGAATTTCTTCTGCAACAAATATGCCCCTTCCAAGTTTTCAAACAGCAGCTAGTTTAATTTCTAATGATCCTATTACCAATATTCAAGATATTGCTTAAGAAAAAGCTTCCTATTAT